AAGGAAGATTAAGCTAGGGGGTATAAAATTGACAAATGGAACATCATGTGGAAAAAAAGTGAAGTCATGCATTTTGGTGGGAAAATTAGAGGAACTGAATATTATTTAAATGGAGAAAGACCACAGAAAGTTACAACCAGAAGAGTGTGGGATTCCTTGTTCACAAATCAAAACAAGCTAGCATTCAGGTTCAGCAGACGATAGGAAAGGCAAATGGAATGGCGAATAAAAAGAGGGAAGTCTTGTTAAAACCAAGCAAAGCATTAGTTAGACCTCAGTTGGAATACTGCAAACAATTTTGGTCCCCCCATCTGAGGAACATATATTGGCATTGGATATATCGGCATTGGAGGCAGTTCAGAGAAGGTTCACTAGGCTGATCCAGAGTTTGGAGGAACTATCTTATGAGATGAGTAGTTTGTGCCTGTACTTATTAGAGTTTAGAAAAATGAAAGACAGTATTATTGAAATATACAAGATCTTAGGGGACTTGATGGGTAGATGCAGAAAGATTGTCTCCCCTTGTAGGAGTGTCGAGAACCAGACAGCATTTCAGAACAAAGGGTCACACATTTAATACAGGGACTAGGAGAAATTTCTTCTCTCAGAATGTAGTGATTCTGTGGAATTCTTTAGCACAGAGCCTGTTGATGCTGGGTTGTTAAGGCTGAGGTAGATGGATTTTTAATCAGGAAGGCAGTCAAGGATTATGGGGAAAAGGCAGGAAATTGGTGTTTAGGATTATCAAATTAACCTTGATCATATTGAATGGCAGAACTGACTCAATGGGCTGAATGGCCTGATTATGCACCTACATCTTATGATCTTGTGGTTTTGTCACAGGGAAATCATGTTTAGCCAATTTATTATTACTGTTTGAAGGTGAAACGTACATTGTGTACAAAACAAGGGTACACTATGTCTCCAGATAATATTTGATACAATTAAAGATTATAGTGGAAAAGAGAAGCTTAAGATATAAGGGGTAACATATTAGTATGGTAGAAGATTGGCTGGTTGGGAGAAAACAGAGAGTATGTATAAACAAATCTTTTGTCTGGTTTGCAGAATGTGACAAGTGAAGTCCCACAAGGATCTGTGCTGGGGCTTCAACATTTCACAATTTACATTTTCTGATGAAGGGTCTAGGCCCGAAACGTCAGCCTTTCTGCTCCTATGATGCTGCTTGGCCTGCTGTGTTCATCCAGCTCTGCACCTTGTTGTCTCACAATTTACATTGATGGCTTACATGAGAGGAGTGAAAGTATGATAGCTAAATTCACAGAAGACACCATGATAAATTGGAAGTATGTTGTAATGAAGACATACGGAGGTTGCAGACAGACATAGATAGTTTGAGAGAGTAGGCAAAAGTCTAAAAATGGAGTATAAAGTGACAAAATGCGCTGTTGTTCGCTTTGACAGGAAGAATGAAAAATCAGATTATTAACTAAATTGTGATTGACTGCAGAATTCCAAGGTGCAGAAGGATTTAGGTGTTCTAGTGCATTATGTACAAATCTTTAGCATGCAGGTGCAGCATTTAAGTACTCTTGAGGTTATTCAAAACTGTGCCTGAATCTTAACTCATAGCAAGTCGTGTTCCCCTATCTCCCCTCCATTCACTGGTCTACATTGGTTCCCAGTCAATAAATCATGGTTTTAAAATTCTTTTCTTTGTTTTCAACACCCTCCACGTGTGAAACTAAGTTCTGAGTTTTGCCAGCATGGGCTCGTAGAGTATGGATAATGCTCTGTCTGTTACAAACAACCAGAGAGGCATGTTTTTTACATACAGTCAGTCATTGGGATTTAAGGCCTTCATATCTGACATTACACTGGCAACGGAAATTCATCACATTATTGATCTGTGATGTGGGAAGTATATCTTGTTTGTTTGACAACTGCATCCTGTTAGTGGAGAATGCTACTCACGCTGCCACTGCACAGTAACTGCAAGAAAAGGGGACATTCACTTGTACAGTTTTTCTTGGGTAACTCTGCTCTTCCCATGTAATCTGAGGTATACTGAGGACATTTCAGGACCGAATGCTGTGGCTTTAGGCCTATTCCTGTGTTTCTGCAATACATAATGAGCAAAGATCTGATCACTGTTGTCATAATGCCACAGGGTAGCTTTGATGCACTTGATTTTGACATCAAACTGCTCAATGAGCAAATGGCTTGGTCTCTATTTACTAGGTTGCAGGGCAGGCCAATTTTATGATCCACGGAATATTGTAACCCCATCGTGTATGTAGTAAAGGTAGACTTGTATTAACCTATAATAGAGAACACCATGAACAGATTGGAATGAGATGCCAGAGGAAGTGATAGAGGTTGGCACAAAATTACAAAATTTAAAAGGCATCTGGATGGGTATATGAATAAGAAAGGATTAGGGGCATATGGGCCAAATGCCGTCAAATGCAACAAGATCTATTTATGATATCTAGTTGGCATGGGCAAGTTGGACCGAAGGGTCTGTTTCTGTGCTGTACAGCTCTATGACTCTATATTTCCCAACTAGTTCACTGATGAAAGAATAGTGAAACAAGCTCCCTATCTTAATGGTGCAAGATAGCACCCATTAAGGAGACCTTTGCAAGCAGCTGCAGATTCATACATAGTGAATGTACCAGCCACATATCAAAAATACGTAAGGAGTATTCTTGTATTTCCATTCTGATGAGTGCAATATGAAAAGCTTTGATAGAATGTTTCGTTTTTTTCAACTATTCTCAAGTTCTGTACCACCAAATGGCCACAAGTATATGTGGAAATGCATAAAATGTTTCGTTGTTTTCTTTAATTTATTCAGTCAGAACGTGAGTAACATAAATGGATGTTAATAAACCTGATAGATCTGGCATGATTGGACTTCATCAAATCTATGAATAATTTGATAAAGACAAGATGTGAAGCATTATTTTCCTGCATTATAAAAGTGACTATACAAAATCATTCATTGAATGTGAAGTACATTCTGGTGTCCTGGCTCACGAAAGATGCTTTATAAATGAGTGCTACTTACTTAATATGAAGAGTTGAAGTCACACAATGTCATTGACTAGTAGCATGCCCTACAGAGCTGCTATTGTCAGTCTCATCAATATCAAACAGAGCACTCGACAGAATGAAGTCAAATTACATCTGTGTGACAGCAGTGTAAAATCATTAAATTGTTAATCTTCATGCAAATACCCTGTCAAGCTATCAACTAACTATTTTGGAAATTTTGACACATGATTTGAAAGACTGAAAATGGAGAAAGAACTAGAGAATCCTAAAATGTTAACATTTTCAGAACAGAATGCAGATGTGGAATTTAAAGTAAATGAAATGAATATTATAGGGTTAGGGAAGCTACAGGTTATATTAATCAGTAATCAGTGAGAGAATGACTGATTAGCCAGGACATACTCCATAATAGGGGTAGCACAGTGGCTCAGTGGCTAGCACAGCTGTCTCACAGCACCAGGGAACTGGGTTTGATTCCACCCTTGGGTAAATGTCTACGTGGCGTTTGCACATTCTCCCTGTGTCTGCATGGGTTTGCTCCAGTTTCCTGCTACAGCCCAAAGATGTGCAGGTTAGGTGGATTGGCCATGGTGTCCAGGGATATGCAAGCTAGGTGGGGTAGTCATGGGAAACGCAGGGTTACAAGGATAAGGTAGAGGAGGGGAGTCTGGGTGGGATGCTTTTCAGAGGGTCGGCATGGACTCGATGGGCCAAATGGTCTGCTTCCACACTGTAGGGATTCTAAAATTCCATTTCTGTAATTGAAATTGTCCCAGTTTGGGTTGATGGGTTTAGTTGAACAGTTCAGAATGGAAAGTGCAGGAATAAAACCCCAGATTTGCGAATAGGTTTGAAGTTAAAAGACTGACTCCATTGCTAAGTTAAACCATACCCCAATCCTAATTCTAGAAAGTAAGAAAAAACATAAATAGTGCAAATCCAAATATTGAAATAAAACTGGTTAAAAATCAGAGCAAGTTGATCAACATCGGTCTTGCTGGAGAAGCTAACATGTTTTTTTCTCTCTCATGTGCTGATTGATCTGTTTGCTTTATTCTGCAGTTTTGACTCCAAAATCCCTGAAGGAAATTTTAGATTAAAGATCTGAATCTGATTTTCTTCAGCTTCTCAACTCTGAATGATAGAGTATAGAGTGCTGGAAATCGACCTGGATTTCCAAGGAGGCTGCTCTATTCCCTTGTCAGAATAGCTGGAACTTTGGTATCATGTTCTAGCTACTACTCTATTTTTCATAATGATCAATGCTTTGTGACAGACCTTGAATCTGATACCTCCACAGTGAGTTTGAAAGCAGTCACCCTGAAGTCAGTTCCCTTGGACGTTAACTTTGAAGCTTATCTTCAAACAATTAATGCAAGTCACACTCTATGGGTAGTGAATTCGACCGAAGCCACATGCAACAGGTAAAAGTGTGCACTGAGGATCTCCATTCATAGAGCCTGATCACAGTCTTTAGTATTTGGAATAGATTTCTTTCACAAAATTGTATTGACGCAAGTTATTTGTTGTCTTAGCCAACAATTTCTAGCTTCTAACAACCATAGGCTTTTAATAAAGTTTAATATCTGTAAAGGCACTAATCAAACAGCACTTGGGAGACGTTTCAGCCATCATGCCTGTGCTAGCACTTGGCAAGTGCTATACAATAAGTTTCTCTTTTTCAACATAGCCCAATGCTATTTTCCTCCTTTTTAAATGTTGTTGGATAAGGCTGAAGATAACAGGAACTGATAAGCAGCTTTACAATGGGCTGTTATGTGAAAGGAACTATGCTGAGTCATTCAGGTCTGCTAAGAGTTAAAACTGCAGGAAATCAGTACCTGCTGTCTCCACTAAATAAGGCATACATTCGGCCAAAACATTCAGGATTGGTCACGTGCGCAGATAATTCCAAATAAAGCATATATTTGGCACAGAGACTTGGGTATAAAGAGCCTGAAGAAATCCCTTTGTTCAGCAGCACTTCGAAGATTCATGTTGTAAGAAGTATCCTACGTCAAGAGACATGGTGAAGACCTCAAGCAGAGGTTCAGCCTGGCCAGCTGCCATCTCTCCCGGGTAATAACATTTGGGTTTAGTTACAGAAACCAGGGTAATGAAAGACAGTGATTAAGTTATTTCTAGTAATTAAAAGTGTGTGTTATTTGTTTAAGGACTGAATAAATTAGTTCTGTTTTATAGAGCTCTAAGTGTCTCTGCCGTACCTTCGCCTATGTATGTACTGTTGTCTCTCAGAGACGGGTAACAATGTATATCCAAGGCCCTTTTGAAAGTTACTATTGAACTTACTTCTATCAACATTTCAGACAGTGCATTTCCCAGCACAACAATTCAGTAAAACAAATCTCCCCTCTGTTAACAACTATCACACAAAGTATTCAAGTATAAGCTCTCCTGTTTTTTTTTAAATAGAGCGTAAGGGGTTTCTAAATATGAGGATGTAATCTGACCACTCACTCTTACAGCTTCTGCTGACATTTATTTTAATTGCGACAATTCATCATATCATAATTTATCTGAGGACCTCATGCCTATCTGTGCTGTTGGAATACCTGTCAGACATCAAATCGAGAGTCAGAAATTTTAATGCTGATTTAATTAAAACCAATCACTTTCAACTCCTGCATGAAATTTTGTTACTACCTATTGGGGAAGCAAGCCATTAATCAGGACCGGCTTTTCCAGGAATCTTACCAAAAGTTTAAGATTTCTTTAAGGTACGCATTGTAATCCAATTTAACTAATTTTCAGATCAAGATTGAGAGAAAGCATGGTCCAGGATTTCTGCACTAAACAAGAATTATTATTTATTATGAGTGATTAGACAATTGCTAAAAGTAAACAGATAGGAACCATTGCCTTATAACACTACTAACTGAAATTCTAATCCTCCCATGGACTCTCCCTTACACATGCACACATAGACAAACAAATAGCTCATTGGTAGAGGTAGAGAAATAATGGAAAGTCAGTTCAGTAAATTCTTGCTTCCCGATTCCGATGTTAAGAGAACCTCTTCAGCCAGCCAGACACTTAGTGTTCAGATGGCTTTCTTCTGGAATACAAAGTGACAGATTCACTCAAAAAGTGTCTTTGATTTATCAATTCAACAGATACATCTCCCATCTACTGCCGCAGAAAAGGTAACTGGTTTTCTTCGAGTTTAAGCTAGACAAACGGGAGGCTGGAAGAACACAGTAAGCCAGATAGTCCTGAAGAAGAGTAATACCCCCAAACTTTGACTGCTCCTTTCCTCCAGTTGCTGCCTGGCTTGCTGTGTTCTTCCATCCCCCTGTTTGTCTGTCTTGGATTCCAGCAACTGTAATTTCCTTTGTCAAGTTTAAATAAAATTTTATTTACTGCAGCTTCTTAAGGGGAAAACAACTGCATGCTTCTGCGTTTTTGCAATTCCAACTACTCAGTTAGTTAAGAACTATTCAGTTCTACTTGTAAACAACTCCTCAGCTCCTGATTGTCTGCACCAGCAGGAAACCATAGCCTCAAAAATCAGAGTTCACAATAGGTAGCTACTTCTTGTTTGGAAATTATACAACAATCCTAGTAAATCCCAGTTTTCAATACAGTTCTTTTGCTTTGCAGTCATGGTTTTTAAAGACTCAAAAATACAAAAAGACATGGTTCTTACAATTTTAAACCTCAGCATCCACAAAAACCTACTTTCAAAACAAATTTATCAGTAGTCCAAACTCCCTTATGGATCAGGAATGGACCATTGTGCTGTTAAGTTGACTGTTGCTGCAGCTGTTTAGGTTAAAAAAAGTGGGTTCAACAATGCTACATTTTGACCACATAGTGCCTTGCATCATTTTGCAGTTTATGACAAAAGTATGTTGGCTGATTCACTAATATAAAGAATGCAAGTGATATGGTTCACATCAAAACCACTTTCAACCCTGCTGTGGTTTACTGTAATCAAATGATGTTTTCACTTAAGTGAAAGTTACAATATAAATGATTAAGGGTCATAGATTGAATTTAGGATTGAATTTAGGAATTAGACCCAAAACAATAGTTAAAAGTTGAGGATCCTTCTGCCTATAGACTAGACTATTGAGACAGAAGCATGGAATTTATGTCACTCAACCTATAATCCCTAGGATCAATAAAGTAAGGAATGTAAATTCAGTTTCAGAAATACCTTGTATAAGTAAACCATTGGTTTGTCACAAAAACTCAACTGGCTTACTCATGTTTTGACTCCTACTTACGAATGTAATCGTCTAAAATTCGTCAGGTTCTGGGAAAGTCCCAGGAGATTGGAAAACTGCAAATGAAATGCCTGTATTCAAGAAAGGAGGGAGACTAAAAGAAAAGTCACAAGAGCCCCACTCTTCTGTTACAGAGAGAAAACTGGTGGTAGTTTAACCTGAGGATTCACCACGCCTCAGGCAAGGGGCAAAGTTGAGAAGATAGGGCATATTCCTCATCTGTGTGGCAAGAGGACATGTCAACTGAACTATTTTAGGTGTTGCCATAGAGATTTGCCACAAAATATCAAGCATTCCAACACAATCTTCACTGCATTACTATCATCTTCTTACAAATTTTTTTTTCCAAAATATTCTGTAGTTTTGCCATTGGTCATGTCCCTGTTGCAGGATGGAACCTCACCACTGCTCCTCATGTTGTATGAGCTTTCCGGACTACTCATAAGGGCAGCATAAGATCCATATGCTGCAACCATTCTCTTTTTAGTTTGGCATTGACAGAACTCACCCAGTCTAGTGTTGGTCGGAAAAAGTCACTTGATATTACATTGGTATGACTGACATTCTTGCAAAGATTATGAGAATGACCTCAAAGATAGACCTGTGTCCTCTGTGATCCAAAGGTGTTCTTCTATTCAAATCCTTCTAACTTCACTATTTTAGGTAATACTTAATGCTATCCTTAGCATTAATCCTTACGGAGCCTGACATCAATAACAACAGGCCCCTCCCCTTGATAGAGCTCACCTCAACAGGCACCAGTTTTTGTCAATGCTGCTCCTATGTTGACTGTTCCATGCAATCTGGCACTCTTCATAATTTTCCTCCCCTACAGATGGAAACATTCTGCTTTGTCCCATTTCTTCAAATCCCGACTGCAATTGAAAAGTCACCACATGCTTGATGTGGCCCTGCATTGTCTCAGTGAATAAAACCAAACATTGTCATTTTGTAGCACCGTGAATTAAAATGTGGATTTACACTTTGAATAGATGTTGTTTCACCTTGGATGGTCACTTTTATCAAACAGGTAGACTTCATAAACTAGAATAGAGTAAGAGCAGAAATAAATCAATGAACTCTTAAGGCCAAGATGAATAAAGAAAGGAGGCAGATCAACCAGACAATCCATCCATTATATTCTTGCTGATAACAAACCTTAATTAACATTGGCAGACTCCATCTGTACGTAATTCTTGGCAATTGGGCAGGTAATTTTCACCTTCGCTGCTTGAGCTATTGACTGGTAAAATGTGTTGTCCAGTTGCTATGAAACCCAAGATCAATGAAAATGAGAAGTTAGATCAGTTTCCAATAACAAACCGTTGACCAGTTAGAACAAATCACTACCTAAGCAGTGAATGTGAAAATCACACCCTGTTTATGGTCAATACATCAATGCAATTATTTAATTTAGTATTGCAGGTCAGGATGGGCTTTATTTGAAATCAGCACCAGGGCATGTTTGAGAGATATTGACCAGAAACGGGAATGCGCCAGCAAAAACCAGTGATAGACATTCACATACAAAGTGCATGTTTCTAACATTAATAGTTGAGGTAAAGCAATTTCCCATGTGCACAATGTCCCGTATTAAGAAACAAAAATAGAAACTATTCTAAGGAAGGGTCACTCAACACAAAATGTTAACTTTGATTTCTCTACACAGATGCTGACAAACCTGCTGAGCTTTTCCAGCAATTTCAATTTTTGTTTCTGAATTACAGCATCCACAGTTCTTTCGGTTTTTTCCCCATATTAAGACATTAGTGCTTATATCATTCATTTAAAAAAAAACACACCGTAGGGTGGAGGAGTCATAATATTTATCAGTGCCACTCAATTCTATGATCAGCCAGGTCCAGACCAACAAACTTTCTCTATGTCACCTGAGTTGATAATTTATGAGAATATTCTGCATATGTTACTTCAATAACACATTCAGTTATGGTTTACCAATGACATGCTACAAAGGCAGAGCCTTCATTATTTGCTCATGAAAGTCTATAAAAACAAGATAATCCAGGAAGGTTAGTTAAAGACGAAATTTAAAATTAATTTTGCATCAATGACTATGGGTGTCCTAATTACTTTGCCTATAGGAATTATCTTTTCAATTAAAAAAGAATGAGTTACAAAAATTAATTCTGATCTTCAATAAAACCAGTCACTCATGTTCCACAGATTTTCAGCACATAAGTATAAAGGCTTCCACAGTTTTAATAATTGATCAGACACTGAAAGTTTGAACTTTCTTGTTAACCGTGAAACCCAAGAATTTGTTGCTAAGTATTTGAGAGCTTCTTCCATGACAATGTGATGTCCTGTTAATTGAGTATCTCCTGAAGCATGTAAATTATAATTGCCAAAGTGAATACCTGCCCAGAGGAAATGTACTGACAGAAATTGACTTTGTCAACACAAGTACAGTTACAACATTTAAAAGGCATTTGAATAAGTTCACGAATAGGAAATGTTTGGAGGGACATGAGCCAAGTGCAAGCAGCTGGGTCTAGTTTAGTTTAGGAACATGGTCGGCATGGACCGAAGGGTCTGTTTCCATGCTGTATGACTCAACAACTCTATGACTTTTCAAGTACAGCTTTCATTCAATTGCAGTAACAATTCTATTGGTGACATTTCTACAGAAAATATAAGGCTAATGGTTGAGGTTATACATTTGTAATTTTTATCTGCCTTTGTTATATTATATAATTTAAAATTAAAATGCCACATCTCCAACAATCCAAAAGATCTGGAATTAAACATCATGTCAAATACAACTGTGGATTTACATCACTTAACAATGCATTGAATATTATTGATCTA